AATCATTTCAATTTTACTTCTTATTCTTTTATTTTGCTTCGACTAGACCTTTCAATCTTTGTCGAAACAGACAAACATTTCAGAATTTCAGACATGAAATTATTTTGTGAATTTATGCATTAGGTTCTACTTTTTCACAAAATATGCAACTCAATTATTAAACAACAAGCACATACCAAGAACATGGAGAGAAAAATTATTAGTGCTTCGGATATTCAAGTGTAATAGAGAACCATTTTCAATGATGATTTTGTACATAACCTGCGACTGTTCACAACATTTGGCAGCGTCATTGATGTGCAGCATCAAAATTTATGATATACCATTTGCCGAGAAACAGATAACGGATATATTAAAATATAAAGTCCATAAAAGTTTGGCTTATTTACATATATATGGATTTATACGTATATATCTTACCATGATTAGTTGTTGATATTTGTAGAAAATGGGTATCATTGTACGTGAAAAAGAAAATGTACATACTCTGATATTTTATTATCATCTTTAGTAGTGACACAAACAGAACAATGTTGCACTACTGTCATGTCACATTACAAGTCTTATAAGTTTTGTTTGTAAAGGAATTACTTTCCTTATCAGATCACAGGCATTAGTGAAGGCATATGGCCCCTCTTTCATGGACAGTGCATACGATAAGTATAATTTAGATTGCAATTGTACTTGTGTATTGGATATACATTTAGGATAGAAATGACCTATTAACTGCAACTTTTACTTTTAACAGAATTCGAATACAAAGCTATTGTTAAAACATGTATATGAACACTAGGTTTGTAAATTCTTTACAACATCTTTAACAATAAACAATATTTCTATATTTCAATATAATCTTTATAAGCCTGAAGAAAATCGGCGTATAATACTGTGCACCTGGTGGTCTGTCCGTCTTTTGACAGTTTTTCTGACTGGTCTGTATCTTTTGAGCCGATAGAAGGAAACAGAAACTTGGAAAAATGTTAACAATAATGAGACACATAACCCTGAACAATATAAATATATTGTTATAGGACAAAATAGTATAACCTGGACATGATAAGAGAATGAAATTGAATATTCAACTGACGGAAATATTACATCTCAGTATATTTCATATCATAATTATGACATCTTGTATTCGGTCTTTACAAATATGTACCATAAAGTTATGTACGTAGTATTCATTGAAAACAATAAGTTTTAACGTTTCTTTGCCAAAAGCAAGTGGTAAATTACGTAAGGACAGTTTTTTTCTATATATTTTAAAAAACGAAATGCCCATATTCTGACCCTTTTCATTCTTTATTATAGAACAAATAAACATGTTAAACGATACAAGTTTTTTTCATGGTCACTATATCTTTAACATCCGAACTGAACGTAAGCTCAATATATACATACTATAATAATGCTTAGCAGTCATTAATCCTTTCGATCAACAGACCCCAAATGTACACTTACGTCGAATGTATACTTTCGTCGAATGTACACTTTCGTCGTGTGAACACTTACGTCGAATGTACACTAACGTCGAATTTTCGAATAAGCAGATGAGGGTTACAAAATCATTAAAATATAAGCAGATAACAATTAATTAATAAAATGTAATGAAGTGTCAGTGAAGGTAAGTCAAAATTACTTCGAGTTACAAATGAATTTGGTAATTCTTTACTGTCAACATAAAGAAAATTCATTTGAACACATGTTTGAAACTATTTTAAACTAGATGTATCATTGTTCAACACTACACTGTCGCATTTTTACGTAGTCATTCGTTTGAAATCGGCTATTTCCGTAAAATCTAGCCTGGGTCGCCATATAAAATCGCTTGGCAAAAAGAAAACGTTATGAATTCAGTTAAAAGTGTGAAAAGAGTGACGTCATCCCTGGGAATTTTTCTTACTGCATTCTTATATACAGCGGTATGTAATGAGCTATGATTTTAAATACTAATATGTGATTACTCTTCCTTTCAGACAGAAGTATTAATGAAACTGAATTTATGCCAGGTGGAAGTGGGAAATTGAAATACATTATCTTTTAGTTGTTTTATATAAAAACAGTGAAGGTCCATGGTAAAATTTAAAACGTAAAGTAAATAATTATGGTAAGGTTAAAAACGTTTACTATTATAAAACATTTCATTTTATTAAAGTAACAACATGTTGTTTTTAGACACTCTAGGCCTGAGAAATAAATGCGTTTTTGTTCTAAGGAGAAAGTGAAAACTTTTATTTTATCATATTTAAGAGAATGTAAGATGCTTATCGCGCGAAGAAAGATGTCTTGAACGGAGAATAACTTAATACAAAATAGCAAAATATAAACACAGTGGTATTTTTGTTTCATACATAAATCATTTTATGTTTACTGACAACAAAGACATGGCGCAAACCATGAGTACCAAAACTGGAATTCTATAAATTCACCAAAATACTATTGATCAATAAAGATATATCATGTTTCGACTAATGGGATTTTAAACTCAACTCAACTCAACTCAAATATTTTATTAAAGTCTCATCTATGTGCATCTTTACATATATTTAAGAAATAAAACACAACATTTTTACACAACACCACGCCACTCCTACATAAGGAGTTATAAGAGACTGTAAAACTATTAAAATAATCTCTAAAATATCTACTTTTTAAGAAAAAAGTCAATATTTAGACACAATCTAACATGAATTATATGGCCAAAGAGGTCAAATTTGCGCCTATCTGTCTATTAATTATAGTACTATGACAATAATTGTCTGAGCTAACCCTGTGTATTAATACTTTATAATTCATAAAATCGTTTAGCTAATACCCTTAAAGTTAAATATAAAATTCATGATAATAAAATTCCTTACAATACATTGAAGGAGTCTGTACACCTGAAAATTCCAGGCTGCTTTTTAAATTGGCAAGATCAATATTATACCACATAGGCATTAAATCCATACAATTTCATTCCTGTTTTCTATATCAATAGCAATATTCCTATTCTAACCTATTAATAAAAAATATCTTGATAAAAGAGCTATAAAAGCACCATACTCATACTCGTTGTACTTATATACATGTATTTACAACAATTTGTATTGTTAAAAACATGTAAAAACCACATAAAATTAAGTAAAAATTCAACTAATGACTAGATTAGTTAAAGTAAAAAAATTATCTCCTGTACATCCTTAAACGTCTAAGTTGCAGTATTAGGTAGCAGGCTTTGGCAGAATATTTAACAATTTCAAAGTTGTTTAGTACATAACATAACTTTTCCATGTCTTTTATTTTCGCATACCGTTATTTAATTTTGTTCTATCTTAACCCATTACTTCATGAGCATTTCGTAAAAATGGCTGTTTTCATTGAAAAGCCTCCTGTTACAAGTTCAAATTGCTATGAAACTATAAAAAAAGTCTTCAATACTGTTCAAACTTGGCACACATATTAACTGGACCATATCCTTTGTAACGACATACACAATCTTAAATGTTCTGTTACCATGGCAAGAAGGGGACATCTCAAAATTGCCAAAAATCACTATTTTGCGATGATTTTTCCATCAAAGCTGATTTCAAAGTGCTACAACTTTTCAATGGATTGAGATAGAGTCCAAGGCTTTTAAGTGTTGGTTACACGTTACCTGCAGGTCGACCTGAGACCATTTTAGCCTGTCACAGGTCCATAATTTTCTTGAAGAAAATGTACCTTCAAACAGAAGGGGCACATCCCTTTTTCGCAGCCCCTTGAAGTATCTATTTAAAAGGGGATGGTGCCGAAAAAGTGATAACTGTTTACTTATATGTTAAGAAACAACAAAGATATTTTTATTGTGAGTGTTTAATGAAATATGAAATATGCATTAATCAATATCTCAAACATAATACTTTAATCAATATCTCAAGCATGATATTTTAATCAATATCCTTAACATGATATTTTTATAAATATCTCAAACTTCGAATATGATAGTCTTATAAATTACGGAAACGTATAGCGACCATCCCTATGATATAACAAGTTTAACAAGTTTAAAATGTTTATTTATCTTTTCCCAAAAGGTCATAGACCCATGTGGTACAATATGCAAAAAACATAATATGGCAAACGTGCAAAATTGACATGATCTCTTACATGCATAACAGTAGCACATTTTACATAGGAAATGAAAACATATATTTACCTATTAAATGATGTACATGCTTATATAAATTCACATTTTCGTCTTATGTGTCAAAAGTATATATGCAACATAAGTTTTACGTGTGACAAAAATCATATTGTACTGACTTTACATATTAGATTGGATCTATCACTAGTGAAGAAGATAGTTTGACAGAAGAAAATCTTTCTCAATTGAATATTGAATTAAATCATGTTGATAACGAAAGTGTGAATTTAACATACATTTTTACATACTGCATACACCATTGTTGTCATTGTTGACATTTTAATGTAAAGCATTTATTTATCAAATTTGATTGTGCACGGGGGATAATTAATATGGTCTTATCGCTCGACCTGTAAATCGAGTTATGTAACATCCAACGCACTATTTGTAGATTTATATAAGTACTTGTTCATTTTAAATATAGCCTTTTGCGCTTGACCCGAAAGTGTGTTTTGTGCTTCAGAAAAAGAACCTCCAGTAGTAAATACAATACCTAAGTATGTAAATTTATTTACAACTTCGACAGGACAGTTATTATAATAAAACATAGTATCAGTAGACAATCGTCCGCCTTTACGAAAAATCATAATTTTAGTTTTATCAGTGTTAACAATTAATTTCCACTTATTACAATATTCATATAACATATCTAGACTACTCTGTAATTTATTTTCAGTGTTTGCAAATAAAACAATATCATCCGCATATAAAATAAGAAATATTTTAAACAGATTGACATCAATACCTTGCATACCACTATGTATATACATGTCTTCAATATCATTTAGAAACATAGTAAATAAAAAAGGTGATAAGCATTCACCCTGACGTACCCCTAAAATACAATTAAATGGTTCACTTAAAGAGTTACAATATTTTACTTTTGATTTTACTGAGTTGTACATAGATCTTATAATATTCAACATTTTGCCACGGATACCTAATTGTATCAATTTCAGCCACAAGTTGTCTCTAACAACATAATCAAAGGCTTTGCTAAAATCAATAAAAGCGCAATATAATTTTTTACCGTTATTAATCACATGAGAAATCAAACCATGCCAAACAAATATATTATCTACCGTGCCCATTTTTTTGCCTAAAACCTGACATGGCCTCAATACATACACCATAATTTTCTGCCCATTCTACCAGTCTATTATTTAAAACACGTGAAAATAATTTACTTAATGTACTCAATAATGTAATTTCTCTATAGCTGTTTTCATCATTAATAGTAGGGGTATTACAAATCCTTCAGACCAACTTTCTGGGAAGTATCCTACTTCAAATATTTTGTTAAACAAATTTAACAAAAATGGCATTAAAACATGTTTACCATTAATAAAGAATTCGTCAAGGTATTTATCCGGACCGCTACTTCTATTTGTCTGTAGTTGACGGATTGCTTTTAATTAGCGCTGTTCAGTGATAGGGACATTCAATTCATGAAACCTTATATTAAAATCATTTTGTTCATACCTCTATATAAAATACAAAACATCTTCATCAGGCCTAAAAAGTGATCGTCTGGGGCATTTACAGACTCAAAATATTTCTGAAATACATCAATTTGAATATTAGGCTGTTTAACACCAGCACAAGTTTTAAGCATTTTCCAATACAACTTAACGTTTTTATGTTTTGCATCGGTTAATTTTGCCATTTCATTGCGGTCATAATCCATTTTACATTTGCGTATACATGATTTATAATTCGTCATGCATGAACCATATTTTGTCTATTCAAATCAGATTTATTATTTCGATAGACGTTTAACATTTTGTGAAAAATATTTCTAAGTTCAAAACATTCTTGCGTATACCATTTACAATCAACAATATGACTGACTGAAGTTTCGCTATCAGCGTGTTTAACATCCTTTTTAAACAAAGGGGACGCAACCGCGTCAATAATATTAGAAAAATCATTAATACATTCATCAATATCAGAAGAAGACTTAACATTATTCACTTTGACATTGAAATAATTCAGTTTATTCATCGTATTTTCAGAAGATAAGTTTTCAGCAAACATCTGCTTTTTACCGTTATTCCACACATATTTGAAGCTATCTATAGTTTCACATGGCTTGGCATTTTGTACATGTACATATAAAGGTTTATCAAAAACAAGAGATATATCCACAAGGCAGTGATCACTTAATATATTTGGAATTTGTACCTCAAAAACGTCAATATATTGAAACAAATTGTGTGTACTTATTACATAATCAACTAAACTACTACCTCTACTCCCAACAAATGTGTTGCGACCTATATATTTATCTTTGCCAAATCTTAAATTCAGAATTCTTAGGCCAGTATGTTTACAAATATCTAACAATGTTAAACCATAGCTATTTACACAGCATTTATCTTGTGAATAACGATTCATAATTGGGTCAATATCATAATCAACAGGTAAAACATTCATATGAGTACAATAATTATCATTTGTGACAAAATCAGGATAATTACTTGTGTGAGCATTCATGTCGCCAAATAACATAAATTTAGATTTTCTTCACATGTAGACCCTAAGCTAGTAATAAAGTCCGTAAGACGATCAAACATAATTGTTTCTATCATTGATTGTCTACTACTGTTCTCGGGTACTGCATAACATAATCACACATACAAGCCGGTATACAATAAATTACCACTTATTTTAATACATAAAATATCATCATCGCTCAGAAATACGAGAGTATCATTTGAAACAAAGTTTTCTCTCAAATATACAATAATACCAACACAATCTCTTTTTGCTAGATTTTTTGTTCTAAGTATATGTAAAGCGTAATATTGAAAATCATTAACATGCAAATCAACACTTTCATTTGACCAAGTTTCGGTAAATAATACAATGTCGTGTGAGTTAAATACAGACTGCAGTTCAGGCGATTTTAATTTATCAGTTCGTTTCGTTTTTAAACCCTGTACATTCAGCAATGCACACCTAAGCGTGACCTTCTCAGCTGTGTCCTACTGACCCTTGACTGTATTGTTGACCATAGTAACACTAACACTCTGTCGTCTATATGGTACGGCTGAATGCGCTCTTACTTTAGACGCAGCACGTGGATTACGTGCACGCCCACGACTCTGCGGTTGTGTGTAATCAGCCTGTATAGATTCAGATGCCTGCTTCACTTTCTCGACACTCAATGTTTTTGGACGTGTTTAATGTACAGACTCACTGTGAAGGGATTTGACATGGGTTTCATGGATACCGTATTTTGGTATATATATCAAATGACTTTTTTACAGTTTTATAATATGTTTGTTATATACAAATATGAATTCAGGAAAGAATTACATATTCAAAAAGATGTAAGTGTTTTATTTTTTCATTTTGCTTAAAAGTTAAAAGTAGTTTATCTTGCATTAGAAGATAAAAAAGTACGATAAATTATAAAAAAAATATGTATTATATATGATTTACAACGTAACTTGATTAAATTGCTTCCTTTATCAAATGTCTTGACTTTTCTCGTGTCACACATCATATAAGACGAAATATCGCTTAAGCTTTGGGATCTATGTTCCTATAATAAGATCAACTGGTCGAATATTCATTTTTATATAATATTTATCATGTACCATCCTCTGTACATACATTTTAAATGGTAAATTTGTCGGAAGTTATCGTTTTAAGCTATATATATTATATATCTTACAAAAATATAATGGTTTGTATGGTAACTAATTTTCATCAAGTACTACTTCACTAGCTTATTTTATGCTTATTAACAACTAACGGAGTTTGTCTTTTTTATATAATCTTTATCTTGTAACACTTTCTGAAGCACAATTATTTAAACATTCCTTAATCTTTGAAATACACAGCCTCATTCAAATGTTTCATATATAATCTTTAAAAAAGCTTTGTATTGTGCAGGATTTTTCTGTCCTTATTATCAAATATAAATTGTAAAATATGTTATATTATATTTTATAATGATAACGGTATGCGAATAAAAAACCTCAAGTGTATATAACTAATACATATAAATGAACTGAAAAATTTCACATAAATTTTGATCCAGCAATATAAACAGCAGATTGAGTAAATTATATATATTCAAGATAAAAAAAACAATGTAAATATTGGTCAGATATATATCGTGTGTTCAAAAAATTGTCTTAAATTTCGGTTTTTACCAAAATGCAGGGGCGGTAGATATAACTAGATAAATATTTCAGATCAAGGAAGTTTGTAAAAATTTGTTAGGTATATAATATGTATCAAATAAATTGTCAAAATTATGTTTTTACTAACATGTAGGGGTGGTCGCTATACGTTTCCGTAAATAAATATCACAAACATGATATTTTAATCAGTATCTTAATTTACATATTTCAATCAATATACCAAGCATGATATTTTAATCAATATCTCACACATCATATTTCAATCAATATATCAAATATTACGGAAACGTATAGCGACCACCCCTATATGATACACATCAAATGACTTTTTTTTACAGTTTTAAAGTATGTTTGTTATATGCAAATATGATTTCAGGAAAGAATTACATATTTAAAAAGATGTAAGTGTTTTATTTTTTCATTTGTCAAAAATTTAAAAGTAGTTTATCTTGCATTATAAGATAAAAACGTACGATAGATTACAAAACAATACGTATTATATATGATTTACAATATCACTTGATTAAATTATTTGATTTATCAAATACAAATGTCTTGACTTTTCTCGTGTCACACATCATATAAGGCGAAATATCGCTTAAGGTTTTGGATCTATGTTCCTATAATAAGATCAACCGGTCGAATATGCCTTTTTATATGATATTTATCATGTACCATACTCTGTACATACATTTGAAATGGTAAATTTGTCGGAAGTTATCGTTTTAAGCCCTATGTATTATATATCTTACAAACATATAATGGTTTCTACGATAACTAATTTACACCAGGTACTACTTCACTAGCTTATTTTATGCTTATTAACCACTAACGGAGTTTGTCTTTATTATATAATCTTTATCTTGTAACACTATCTGAAGCACAATTATTTAAACATTCCTTCATCTTTGGAATACACAGCCTCATTCAAATGTTTCATATATAATCTTTAAAAAAGCTTTCTATTGTACGAGATTTTTCTGTCCTCAGTATCAAATATAAATTGTAAAATATGTTATATTATATTTTATAATGATAGAGGTTTGCGAATTAAAAACCTTAATATAATATATAACTATACATATAAATGAACAGAAAAATGTCACATAAATTTGAATCCAGCAATATTAAAAGCAGATTGAGTAAATGATATATATTCAAGATTCTAACACTCACGTGATTTTGTCATTATACACAAAGAAGGAAAAAAACTGGTGTTAAACTGCCAATAAACACCGGTTAGGGACTACTTGAATATGCGCTGTTATGTTTTCACCCTCGATTGTATAGTTTACAAAGCATTTTAAAGCAACAATAAAAACATTTTTATTTATATTTTCAGTTCGTATAATGTTTTCTTTTCATACAATACCGAAATAATATCTGACATACACTAACGCCACATATTAGATCCATTTATTACATGCTTTTCGGTGGTTTATAGAAATATATCAGTGATATAAAACTGGTAATTTCACTGTTTGAAACAGTGAAATTACCACTTTGATAATTTCACTGTTTTGAATTTAAACCCCTTACGTTGTTTTAGTGAAATACCAGCGTGCACAATACTGGGTACCAACTTAATGACGTGACGTCGTAAATGACGTCACGTTGTATTATTAGTTGCGCGCTTTTCATTCAGTATTAGGTTTAATGTCTATTTAAAACGTTTCTTTGCATGTAATAAAAAGAAAATTTGTTTAGTTTAGTGTAAGATTAAATATATTTCACCTTGTGAACACCAAAAGTTCATATTTCACTCGTGGCTGCGCCACTCGTGAAATAAACCTTTTGGTGCTCACTCGGTGAAATATATTCCGATCTTACACTGAACTAAACAAATATCCTCTATATCTAAACGGCGCCAATCCGTAAGTAGCGTAATGACGTCATCCTAAGTAAACAACTCATTCATAAACAAACTGACGTTATTTCATGCAGACAAGAATGATAAATGGGGCTCTGATGTAAACACAATACGACGTAAGTTTTTATTGTTCAGAACTTGATAAAATAACGTTTTTTTCTTATTATTTCTTTTGTTTAATAATTTCTATATCTTCGCAACAGTAGGGTGCGAAAATCGAACAGCTTTATACGAAAATCGGCACCGGAAGTTATTTCCGCTTCAAAAATAACATTAGTGATTTTCCTTATTTTATCGTGTTAGAATCGAAATAACATCGGCCTGAGAGGTGTATATCGGCTATTTAACACCGGTATTGTCGTTTTGATGCGACAAAATTAACTACTCAGGCCTACGGCCTTCGTGGTCAATTCCTACGCATCACAACTCCAAACCGGTGTTAAATAGCCGATATACACCTCTCAGGCCGATGTTATTTCTTAATCAATTAACAATGTAAATATTGGTCAAATATAAATCGTGTGTTAAATAAATTGTCTTTAATTCTGTTTTTACCAACATGCACAGGCTGTAGATAGTACAAGATAAATATTTCAGATCAAGTAAGTTTATAAAAATTGGTTAGGTATATAGTATGTATTAAGTAAATTGTCAAAAATTCTGTTTTAACTAACATATAGGGGTGGTCGCTACACGTTTCCGTAAAATATCAAACTTTTATCAATATCTTAAACATGATATTTAAATCAATATCTAAAACATCATATTCTAATCAATATCTCAAACATGATAACTTAATCAATATCTCAAACATATTTTAATCAATATATCTCAAACAAACATCATAATTTAATCAATATCACAAATATCATATTTAAATCAATATCTTAAACATCATATTTCAATCAATATCTCAAACATTATATCTTAATCAATATCTCAAACATGATATTTCAATCAATATCTCAAACATTATATCTTAATCAATATCTCAAACATGATATTTCAATCAATATCTCAAACATCATATTTTTATCAATATCTCAAGCATGATATTTAAATCAATATCTCAAACATTATATCTTAATCAATATCTCAACCATGATATTTGGTATCTCACACAGCAAAACAATTACAATACCATAAAGTAAGCAATGGTACAAAAAGGAGAAAGTCTTAGTGTAAATTCAAAGTCATAGCCATTATTTTATTTTAACATTTTAAATGGCTATTTTTTGCATCTAAACTAAAAAAGTACTATGAATAAAGAATAAATGTCTTATTGTACTACACACAGTGTTAAGACCCGTTTCAAATTTAATTGAAGAGATACCTTATCCAGCTACCTAAGAGTATGAGCACGGAAAAGAAAACACCTCGAATTCTTTTGTCAAAAATGGTCCTAGTTAAAAATGTGAATATGAACCAAGCTGCGGTTATCTCCTTCTAAAACTAAATTTTGATAAAAGATTCTTTTTAACGTGTCTACATTTTCAAAGATTTGAATAAAGTACGTTAGTTTATCGTGCAGTGTGCACAATGCTTATTTTGTCTTTCATTTACTTCTTGGGGATTTTTTGTAAAGGTAAACGTCCATTGTGAATGGAAATGGTCTCTTGTCACAACAAAGATTTCGGAACTCTGTACATAGTTACTGACATTTTTACGTTCTGTTTCCGGTTCTATTTCGCACTTGTGCATCTCTACTGTTACTAACTGAGGGAGCTTTTCTAGAACAATCACAAAGCTACTGTAAACTTGCTGCAGACATTTCTATATAAAACAACTCCACGCGTTTAATATTTAACATGCCACCTGACAGTAACAAAGAAGTGTCACCTAGATTGATTCCCCACAAGTAAACATCAACTAACGACGGTGTTGTTATATTTAATTGCAAAGACGGTAACTCGGACAATTGTAACTTTGTTAGGCTTGAATGCCGAGAAAGGTCAAAGCTCAATCTCTTACATTGATCGACGCCATGTTCGTAACATGATAGCTTCGACAAAGTTATTTCCTTTAATGCATTTTTACCAGGAATAGAAGAAAATATTGTCTCAAGTATTTTGTGAGATAATGTGAACTGTTTAACATAAATATAATGTACATTTTGAAGTTTAACGAGACTTTCACTCAGATTTCCTTCATAATTTATCCATTTGCCATACAACAAAGTCAGCCTTTTGAGACAAGGATATAGTAACAAATGGATTTCAGCCTCTTTTTCCCTCTCACCTTCATAAAAAAGTTTCTGTAAAGAATCTAGAGAGAAAATAAATCAATAACTTCACATAAACTGCATGAAGTATTGTTGCCATTTATATCAAGCGATTTTATGTTTGTTCTATTTAGTTTTGCCAAACATTGCAAATGCTCGTTATGCACATTGTCACATGAAATGAACACATCTTGTAAACACAGCTGAGTATGTTTACTTTCAGTCATTTCTTTGAAACATGAAAGTAACATGTTTTGTATGTTATACAATGTATGATAGTGCATATATTTAACATCCGTCCTAGACCTATACTCACGTGTTTCCTCATCATCATTTATCACAAACATAAAACCCTCTGATATTTCACACATTATTGTTGGATTTAGTTTGCCGATAAACTGACAAATTGTCGAGATATCAAGAATGCTTTGGACTTTTTCACATTTTTCTAAAACCGTTTTCTGCAATTCGCTTTGGGAAATAATAAATATGGCAACAAAGAATTCCTGAACTGTTTTATGGGAAAAAGATTCTTTACTTATCTGTTTTGTTAGTGTCCTTGTTTTGCTTTCAGTCAATATTCCTGAGATCAAGCATAATTTGATATATTCTGGTTCGAGATACTTTTCAGCAATTGATCCTTCAAATACCAGCGTTTTTTCTTTTGTTTCATTAAAAAATGAATAATATGCTAGTTTCCCCAAAGCAATCAGGAGAGTATAGTTAGTCTTACAATGAAAATGGCCTTCAAAACATTGTGGAATTTCACCGGTGTAAGGGTGCACCGGAAGTTGACAATCTCGGTGTTTCTGTATCGTTTTTGATAAAAGAAGTTCAATAATATCAGCATAAAGCTCGCACCTTGAACTTCCTATTTGAACACCATCACAATATAAACAAATTATATACATTAAAAGTAGGGGCACAAAGGCAAGGTCAGTAATGTCTCTTCTTTCTATTTCTTTATTGAACAGATGGAGCTCATTTCGTAATGACATCTCATTAGGGGGAGATTTTAACAGTTGTAAGGTCCTTTTGGAAAGTGTATTTACCGAGTCTCCACCTAGTTTAGAAAGTTCTACCTTAATGCCTAATTCGTTCGAATTCAGATTTAAAAACCCTAATTTCCAAGGTCTAGTGGTAGTCAGAACTGTACATTTTTCTCTGATACTCCTGTGGGGGATCGATTTTGGCTCCCTGTAACAGCACTTGTCCGGGTGAGTCCATTCATCTAGTCCATCAAGTATCACTAGACAATTTTCATTGTGCATGATTTCCTGCAGAAAATCTTCCGTAAATTGTTTGGAGTGGTCCAAGTTTGAAATAATTTGTTTGAATAAGAAGTCATCAATAGAGCATAAATCGTACGAATCTCGCAATAAAATTAGAAAGACGTACTCAAATTTAAACATGCAATCTTTATCATCATTTTCAAAAGATGTTTGATCTTTTTTGTCCTGGCAATGAGCTTCGCTCCACAAAGTCGCTAGATACTTTGAAAATGTAGTTTTTCCAAACCCAGCATCTGCAGTAACATAAATTTCTCGGTTGTTGAACATGTTGGACAAAACTTTGATTGGTGTTTTTTGGTCTTTTCCTCCTGTCGAATTTGAAACTACTAATTTAAATTCAGGCCTCATATAAAAGTCGGCCAATGACGTATCCTTTTCCTCAAACAAAGGTGACAGTGGAACTCTGCTGTGTTTCCATTTATAGTATTTAATCAAATCATCTTTGAGATCTGAAATACAATAGAAAAAATAGCAACAATTAAATGATTTGAAATTAAGTTATATAGTGACATGGTGAACATTCAAATATGTAAAGAGGAATCCCTTGATAGGAAATAGCAAAGAGTTGGGAAGTGTAGACTCCGTTTGATCTAAATTGTTCACCTGATGTATGTATGTATGTATGTATGTATGTATGTATGTATGTATGTATGTATGTATGTATGTATGTATGTATGTATGTATATATGTATGTATGTATGTATGTATGTATGTATGTATGTATGTATGTATGTATGTATGTATGTATGTATGTATGTATGTATGTATGTATGTATGTATGTATGTATGTATGTATGTATGTATGTATGTATGTATGTATGTATGTATGTATGTATGTATGTATGTATGTATGTATGTATGTATTCAAAAACAACATGTTTTTCCGTATTCAATATATGTATGTATGTATGTATGTATGTATGTATGTATGTATGTATGTATGTATGTATGTATGTATGTATGTATGTATGTATGTATGTATGTATGTATGTATGTATGTATGTATGTATGTATGTATGAGTGCGTGCGTTAGTACATGCGTGCGAGCATGTGTGTGTGTGTACGTATGTCGACTGTGTTAACGTTTGTATTTCGACCAGACAATTAGATCAATTAAATCCGTATTCATTACATTTTATTTCATGCTTTCAGTGTTTAACTGTAATATATCAGATGATTATATTCTAATAAACCATATGTGAAATTTATAAAATATAATTTTCACTGTAGCCGGACTATATCTGAATGCGGATGAAAAGAATACCATAACTAAGTGGAACAACAGACAAAAATAAATACCGTCATACGTAAATTGTGCTTCTTTTGGAAAAGAAAGTCGATGTCATCATAAATCATTTTAAAAATGTAACAAAATTACAGAAAATTTCACAGAACTAACTATTTTTCAAAATTTATGACGTGACGTCATGATGTGATGACGTCATAAAGAAGAATGCGCGACGTTACGCAGCAAAATCAGTAAAAATACTTAAAATCACTAAAAAGCATGAAATAAAAAGAAAATTTATTTGTTTAACATAAAAGATTGAAATATATTTCCTTCGTGGACACCAACTTTTCTATTTTACTCGTGGTTACGCCACTCGTAAAAATATCGCATCCGGTGTTCACTCAGTGAAATAAATTTCAAACTTACATGAAAACAAACAAATATCCTCTATGTTTTCAGCTACTAGCCTTTATTATATGTCAAATGTCAATCTCCCGCGCTGTAATCGACCCTTACAAAAATAGATCTCTGCCATCACAAAATTTTCATCAAGATTTTTGCGACATGATTTTTTTCAATGTTGTTTTTTTAAGTAAATACGGTTTTACTTATGTTTCAAGACCGTTCTGGTAAGGTGTTAGAACTAAAAAAGAAAATAATTATTTCTATAAAAATGGTCGCTTTCGAAAGAGAAATCGTTCAAGATTAATTAATAATTTCGATTCTACACTTAACAAGAATGATTTTTTAATCATATCGACAAACTTGACATCAGAGTTTAAGTTAAATTGTCTCTGTTTATTACAGATAAATAATTGTTTATCGATTTCTTTGGCGTATCTGCCATCTTGACACAATCATATAATATGATCATCATCACGTGATTTGTGTAATTTTTAGAGATTGCTGCGTCGAACAAATATACAGGTTTTTTTTAGATCTGTCACAATATCGATATTAATGTAAACAAATATTATGTCACTGACATGATACAATACATATCGATAAAATATAAAATGATTCTATATATTTAAATTCAATCATGTTCTATTTCAAATTCGATCTGACGGCACCACTGTATACACTTATTCCAATGGTCACGTCTAATCTTGAACACGTGTCATAACAACAGTGTGAAATTTATAAGATAAAGAAAACTACTTCATTTGGTTGTGTTCAAATGTATGATATTCGTTAAAAGGAAAATTAAAAAATCGTATATTTTTATGGATCGTAGGGCTCTCGTTGATTGCATGAATATGTATTCCTACTCCTCTACTGTATAGACTTGTTTAGAATTCAACATTACAAAATCAACTCAGCGATACAATCCATTAGAATAGCACAATTGTTGTTTTTTTATTTATCAATGAGTTAACTTAAATATCACCCCTATACAGTACTTCAAATATCATATACACGCATTAGACAAATCCACAGATGAAAGAAATATAGTCCTGATGGGCACTGCTACTTAGTAAAATGAACTTTAAAAGACATACAATTTGAGAATAATTTGCTTGAAGCATACCAGTATGCTAAATACGCCTCCTCATTCATGCTAATTTTCATGAAAGAATTGAAAATGTATTTGAAAATATGATATTGCGAAGTAACCAAAAGCAGGTTATTAACACATTATCAATGGCACTAACAAAAAAAACACGTTAATTACCAAAAAGTGGTCAAATTTACATAAATAGCCCTTACTGCGTTAGTAACGCAGTAGTTATGTAATTGTTAATCCTAAAAAAGTTAAACAATGTTTATCGTACTTTTTTGTTTTGTTTTATTTTTGGACTTTCTGATAATATTTAACTCAAGCTATGATAGGAGAAAAAATCTTTATTTCCAAAACTACAACAACAGTCTAGTTAAGAATTTTAAGTCCTTTACCCGACACAAAATAAAACTACACCATCTTGAGTACTAAAATACGATAGACAATACAATATAATGACGGACAGGGAATAATAAAATTACTAATTTTTAACATATTGTAACATACATGTATTATCAGAACTGTTTGATATCAGTAAAATTTGAATTTATAATTAAAAACACTGGTGTATATTTGATAGATGAATATACATTTGATTATTTGGGCTATTACGTTGTTCCGTGTGTGTTCTTGTTACTACAAATCAATGGCAATAATTGTCTACTTGTATTATCATAATAGTCTCATATATACGTATTAATAATGATAAGTATTTCTAACATTATACAAATGTGTACATGAACATAATGTAACATAAATCCTTGTATCACAACTGAAAATACAAGTGTTACGTACATATGCATGTACTTGGTTATTGCGCCAATTTCTATTGCGTCACGTTAGCTTGACGCGCCTTTCCATATGTTATTGTATTGAGATCATTATTAAAGTTGACTTCCGACCCGGTGTTCACTAAAAAAGATCCTGATTTTATTTTCATTGTTTTATGTTACTAAAATTAATCGTGTTTTGCTAGAATTAAATGGTAAAAATTCAAAATGTAAAAAATTGCTGATTTGCAAAAAAACCAAACTATTTTGGGATAAACCAACGGTTATTATAACACGTAAGTCCAGTCATTGATGCATGTTAGCCAGCTATTTTGTAAACAACAATCGAGATTTGTTTACTTTGAGTTTTTACTATAATAAAAACCTAACACGAAATGAAAATTCTTACAATTTTAACAAGAGTGTAAGGGTAATTAAATGAAAAAAAAGAAAAAAAAAGAATAGTGAACATGATACATTTAAAAGGTACAAAACAAAGTTTGAATATAGGAAAATGATTCTATAAGTATAGAGGAACATATAAAAATTTACAAAGGAACTTAACATCGGATCATGCATCTCACATTTGCGAGCAACATTCATCTTTAATTATTTTGTAATTTGATGTTTTATTTGATATCAAATACTTTAAACATTATTATTTATTGTGTTACAATTATAGACAAATTTACTTAAACATCTTAAATTTAATTTACAGTTTTAACATATTGGCAGAATTGATACTGATAAACACTATATAGACAGATGTGCAAAATTATAGAAAACCAGATGTATCTTTTAAAAGGATACTCGGCCGAAGTAAATCTGTTAAACATGCACAATTATTTTATTTCTAAGTTTTCAATACAAATAGAAAAGTAAGCAATGCTTGCATAACAATAACATGATAACTTTTTCTTGTAGCTATTAAGAAAATACATATTTTGTAAACATTGAAATCAAAATATTGCATATCTATATTGATAATTTTTAAGTTTAACTTCTATTTAAGGTGCTCTTTTACTTGTTTTACGTTTGACTTTATAAATATTGTAATCATTTACAAATTCACATAATAATTAAAAATACTATCCTCATTCTTGCACTTCATATTTTAGAACTATCCTATACATATTCTATAGTGGCAGAAGTATCCCTTACATTTTATAATACACCTATCCTTAAATTTTTAATTTAAGTTTGGTAAGAAGTATCCTTTATATTTTATTCCAGAATGTGAAGAATTGTCCTTAACATTTTATTTTAGAACAATTAGATTCACCGATTTCAGTTTGTAATTTCAAAATGACCAATGGAAATTCTTTTTATATTCAAACATTCCCTGTTAATTTTACAGGAAGTCAAACTGATCACAAACGAACTTCGAAAAACTCCACACTAATACTCGTTGTCTTTGGTAATTATGAAAAAAATAAATATTGGCCAATCCTTTATGAGTTTAGAAAAATAATTACTAGTACATGAACTTACTGACTTAATTATTTAAGTTTTATATAATGTTGCAATAGTGACCAAACTTATATTTTATGATACTGTATCAAGCAAATCCATTCATGTTAACTGCATTGAGTGGTGAAAGTATTTTGTTACTTCTGTTATTCCTTTAATACGAGCTTAAAATACCTTAACGTCAAATATTTGGAGCACGACTATATACACGGGTGTATATAGATCATTTACTATACTACATCATCTTGTTTTCGGTTATCAAATATCAAGATAAAACATGCACACATACATATCTTATTCAACATGCAGGTTTTGATATTCAGCTGAAAACATTATACAACAGGTGCAGTAACATTAGTCACTGAAGGGTGATGCTATATTACACAAATATCTATGGCCTCGTTTCGGAGGAGAGATAAACATATATGTCAAAAATGCCCCTATACCGCCAAATTCAGGCCTTGTTTGACCTAAGAG